CCCCGTGCGGCGCCCCCACCGCCGTCCTTCTCCCAGCGGCTCCGACCCCCTCCCGCCGCCCGGCTCCCGGGGAGATCACAACCCCTCGGCTCCGCCACGTGGAACTCGGGTGCCCGACACCGGCAGCGCCCCGCGCGGTGCCACCTCCTCCGATACCGAGGGGGGCCCGCTGCCCTGTCCGTGGCAGCGAGGGTCGGCGGTGGCTTGGGAGCGGGAGTGGAGGCGCGGGAGGATCAGGTCGCCCGAAGCGAAGCGGGAGGCGGCTCTTCCTGGTGTCGGGAAAGGAAACAGAAAGTAGTGGCTCAGTCGGGGAGGAGGATGTCCGAGCTGTGTCCACTTTGTCAATCCACCCAAAACAACATTGAAAGAGGGACTTGACCTGTCACCTCGCCATCCTGGGAGTGGAACACAACCTGTATGAATGCAGTGATGAAGGCCGTTTCCAATCGTGTCCTCTGAGCTCCCGCGAAGGTGGGCAGGAGTTATGGTCTGACCACCTGCTGGGCATTGTGGGCGATGACAGGTATAAAATGTGACTGTGTTTTGCAGGTGCTAAATGGAAAGAATGCTAACTTGGGAGCCAGACAGGGTTGGGTTCTGGCAAAAAAGAAAAGAAAAGAAAGAAACAGACCCGAGGTGGGATCACTTGCTCCCTTGAGAGTAAAACAAGACTTAATTGCAGTTTCAGCCCCTCCCAGGTGTGGAGTAATGGACTGTAATTTCCTCGTGGACACTAGACAGGTTACCTGCATAAGAGCCCCTGCCACGCTTCCCCACCAACACTGGTCAACTGGTCTGAACAATATTTTCTTTTGCTAATAACTTTTTATATACATATGGTTGTATGCACCCCAGGCATGAGTGGCTCTGGCCACCAACACAGGCTTCAAGCTAGGATGAACTAACTCTGTCCCTGACTGATAGAAGAGCAACACCCACCATAATGTGCCTCCTTGCCCATGGCCAGGGGGTGCTAATAACTTTATCTGGCCCAGTTTCCTATAAGAATCTTGCACTTTATACTACTCAGCGCAGGTCTCTTATTTATGAGGTGGGATGCTGCACAATTCATGAATCACTAATAAAGCCAATTAGATCTTTAAACTTATTTGGTTGAATTTTGTTTTTCTTAACAGATTCTTTTCCTGCCCTGCCACTTACAAAGGCTCTGTGACCTTGGGAAAGTTTGGCTTCTCAGTTCTTCAGCTACGTGGTTTTTTAAGTACAGCTGGTTGTAAAAATGAGAGATGCCTATAAGACCCCTAGTATGGTGCCTAATACATAACTATTCAGTAAATGAAGTGAACTGAAGAACTGATCATTCCCTGTGCAGTTTAATAATAGCAGCCGATGGAAGATAGAGCACCAGTACCCCCTCCTACCTGTTGCTGGAAAATTGCAATAGAGATGTTTGTGACCTTACACAGTCTTTGGTGGCAAAATGGCATGAAACCTGGCCCATACTGGAGAAGACTTGTCCCTGCAACCTAAGCAACCAAGTTTCCAGTGGCTCTTTCTCTCTCTAGTGGCAGCTGAGCACTTGGAAGCCAGTGGTCTTATCTGGTGCCTCTAATGCCATAATGAGAATGGCCACGCTGGGAGAGAGGGAAGGTCTGGGGATATATGTGAGGCAGTGTGACATGATGCAACAGACCCAGGCAGCACTCAAGTACAAGCTCTGATGAGTCAACTGGAGAATTGTTAGAGATGTGCTTGACTCAAGCAGGCCAGCTGGATGTCAATTCATGGTCAAGTTGCTGAAGAAACAGTGGGAAATTGCAGGGCAGTGTTGCAAAGAGAGTAATACCTTCATTTCCTGACCAACTTATTTAATGTTCCAGAGTAGGGAAGTGGTTCTTCATCTCATAGCTGGGATGTTGAGGAACTGTATGTATATAAATATCGGTGATATTGAAAAGAAAAATGACCATGTAGAGAGAGATAAGGAATGGGTTGAGAGATTGAGTCTTGAGGAAAGGATTAGAAGCTGTTAGTTCTGCACTTGCTACAATTATATGTGGAGATCTAAGGCTCTGAAAGTTTCCAAAGTGAGAAACAGTTAATGGCTACTTTCATCCAAGAAGGTTTTTTTTGTTTTTGTTTTTGGAAAGGATTGTGAAGAAAACTGTACTTACTACCTATTGAGCTTTGGACTAGATGCTTACCTGTTATCGTATTTGGTCTTTACGGTGACGTGCCTGAGGATGCAGGTGGTATTACCTACATTTTGTAGATTGAAGAAAATGAGACTGAGAGAGATTAAGCTCTTTGTCCAAGGTCACACAAGAATGGTTAGAGAATGGCTATTGTTTAATGGCCTCCCCAAATAAGTAGTTGATACTTTAATGTTATTGTCAAAAATTCGTAAAATGATTGTGCTAATGCCCATCTTAGTGGTAACGGTGTTTTGTTGATGAAGACGAGTCTTGCAGCATTTTTTACTGCTGATTCCTAAAGAAAAAGAAAAAATCAAGATAGCCAAGGCAAAATGGAACAGAACTCTTTCGTTATTATGGCAACCATTGGTCTAGGGTGGAGGGCATGGCAGTTTAGATCTTTGTCCTATGAGTTGCAAGCTGTAGATAGAAGACTTTGGCATGTGGGTATGAAGCATTGCTCATCAATTTCTACCCACAGTGTCAGATTCTCAGTCATTGTTGGTCCTTCCCCTCCTGTTAAGCAGCTGGAGGCAGGCTGCTCACACCCTCTTTTCTGTGGGTTGTGTTTCACACGTAGTCATTTTAGTACATTATAAAACTCAACTCATATAAGGCCTTCGGCTCAGAGGCTAGTGAAGGAGTGGCAGAGAGAGCAGGAGGGGCTTTGTAGCTGTTGTCGATTAGGGTGCTGCGGGGTGCAGTCAGGGCCTCGGTCAGGCTGTTGACCTGCTTTGGCTGTGGTGCTCTTGTAGTAAGTGTGGTCTAAGGCTGTTGGTTTCTTTTCTAGCTGGTTCTAGTGAGCCCTACGTCAGAGCAGTATGACAGCCTACTTCGGCAGATGTGGGAGAGGATGGACGAGGGATGCGGAGAGACCATATATGTCATTGGGCAGGGATCAGGTGAGCATAGTTTTCCTTTCACTTTATTTTTAAAAAAATATTTAGAGCACATTTCCCATCTTTTACCCATTTTTTTTGTTCAGTGTCTGCAGAACTGTTTGGGAGGATATAAAAGTATAATGTGATCATGTTCATTCCCACCTTTTTGGTCATAATACGCTTGACTTGAAAGATTCACTTTCCAAGCGGTTTTACAGATGCCTCTTTTCTACCTCCATTTGCATGAAGGGGAATGAAGCACAAAGCCAGGAAACTTCTGGTCCCCGGTGTAGAGCAAGCCACAGGCCTAGGATTCAGCCTTCCCTGGGCAGCTCTAGTCTTCCCCTCCACTCCAGTTTACAGATCCCATTGCTACTTACTGTCTGCTTAGCAGAGAACTTATGTGGTCCTTCTTGATATCAGCATGGAGGAGACACCTGGAATTCTTCTCTTCAGCAAGGCTGTCTTGCCGCAGACCACACTGACCGCTCAGTGTGAGTAGTTGTGCTAACAGAAGCCCCCTCTTCTCCCCGTGAGATCCCATCAGACACATAGACGTGGTAGCATTCTGGAAGGAACTGGTTATTGTACTCCGGCCTGCTTATTCCGTTGTAATGGGGCTGTTTTGGAGGAAGGCAGCTTCCATAACAGAATCCCACATTATGTCCTGGGTATTTCCCCCCGAGTCATTCCTCCTCTATCCTTTCAACACAAGGCCTACTTACTTTATCTTCATTATGGCATTATGGTGAACTGACAGCTGGGCTTGATAATGATTATGAATTTAGCCTGAACCAGAACTGGTCTGTCATCTTTGCAGGAAGCCTCAGGAGGGCTTGGTGCATCATTAAAGGAACAGCTCTCTTTGTGAATGTAGGCTTTGTAAAGGCAGATAATAATTCCTTTGTTGACTGAGTTTAAGATGGAGAAGATCTCAATATCATTCTTTATTTGCCTAATACCTATTAAGTATCTTCTAAGGGCTTGATACTGTTGCAAAGTAGTTTTGGATACTAAAATCTGGTCTCTGTCCCAGGGAGGAAAGATAGCATATATACAAATAAGCTCAGTAGAGAATAGTATTTCGAAATGGTCAGAAGTGACACAAAGAAGAAGGGCTCGACCTCCAGTTACTGCTGTGCCTTCCTTTGAAATGTGTTTCTTATCTATCCTTTCCTTTCCATCTTTGCTGCCACCGCTTAGTTTTGGTCTTATCGCCCTTTGCATGTCAGGAAGGGGAGTTGGTTAGCATTGTTAAGTGCTAGAGAGACAACAAGGAGAGTTGGGTTCAGAAAAAGCCATTCATTTGGTGACTAGGGGGTCATTGCTAGCTTTTTGAAACCTTTGTGGCAGGTACAGACTAGGCCTGCTGTGATAGGATGAACCATCAGAGACCACTTCCTGCTTGTGGAGCTGAAGAAACCACATCTGGATCAGTTTTGACAAGTGGTGGGACTGTTCTTTGAAGACCCAGATCCCTAACACACCTTCCTCTGCCCCCAGTTCTTTAATGTGGACTCTTAGTGAATTTCCCCGTACCCTGGCGGCTGACAACTAATTAACCTGTTCATGGCAAAGCATAAGATGTCAAACATTCATTAACACATTATACACCCAGGCATTATCTTTGCATCTATCAACTGGATGTTATTAGATTCACAGTGACTCCTTCCTGCTGGAATTATTTAGAGGTTGTAACTAGTTAAACAAGCTGAACATCAAACAGAGGACTAAACCAGATGCAAGGCCCCAGGGACCGGCTTCAGCACCTGCTTCCTGTGTGTGCCTGGCGCCTCACCTCTGTTTATCACATCCTTTGACTGTAAAATGAGGATAATGACATCCTTCCCCACCCTCCCTCTGAGACATTTTGTATGAATAAACTGGCATTAAACATTCTAAGCTGCATAGAGGAATGTGCTCTTTAAGTACACATTCGTACTCTAAGGTGGATCTTACAAAAGGGGCAATCTGGCCCAGGAGTTAGTTCAGGGTCTGGAGTCTGGCAGGTCTGACTTTGCCTACTGGCTCTAAGTTATCTTAAAAAGGGGAGAGTAGTAGTGTCATGGTGAAGGTTAACACTTGGCACATAGTGAGCATTATATAAATGTTAGCTACTATTAATAGTTGCAGTAATAATTCTTTAAGGGTTCCAGGTATAGTTGATTTGCCATGAGATTGCTGTCAAAAAGAATCTTGTTAATTTTTTAAAATATATATTTCATTGATTTTTACAGAGAGGAAGGCAGAGGGATAGAGAGTTAGAAACATCAGTGGGAGTTAAACATCGATCAGCTGCCTCCTGCACAACCCCTACTGGGGATTGAGCACACAACCAAAGTACATGCCCTTGACCGGAATCAAACCTGGGACCCTTTAGTCCGCAGGCCGACGCTCTATCCACAGAGACAAACCGGTGAGGGCAGAATCTTGTTAATTTGTTAGATACTAAGTTACAACTTTCTGAGAGCCAGGTACTGTATTAAAAGTTCAGGGAACAAAGGAGGAGGAGTATGAAGTCTTTGTGGAGAGTCAGGAAAAGCTTCAAAGAGGATGTGACCCTTGAGTCGCTTCTGAAGGATGAGCAGGAGTTTTCTGGGCGAATGAAGGCAGTGTGAGTGCGCAGAGGCTGCCACAGGCGAGAGGCAGCGGCCATGGAGGAGCAGGTGGTGGGCCAGTGGTGGGCCAGTGAAGCAGGAGTGTAGTGTGTGAGGCTGGGAGTGCCAGTCAGGAGGGTCCTCGAGTGCCATTCCAAAGAGTTCAGGCTTTTATCCTGAAAGTTCGGAGAACCTCGCATCAGGTTGAGCAGGAAGTGCATGTAGAACGTGTAAGTCAGATGGCAGGACTGAAGTCGCACTGAGGGTCAGGTGTGGGTGAACGTGGCCTTTAGTAACTGGACCGCTGCGGCCTTCTCCTTGGCCTGTGTCTCCACTTCTGCAATGAGGACTGCAGTGCCTGCGGAGGAGGGGAATGTGACGGGCATTTGACCACCTGGGAGCTCTGGCTGGACGAGGAGCTGTTGGTCGTTGCCCCCAGCTGTGGAACAGGACCTGAAAACATTGCTTTTCGTTGGGTCAGAATCAAGAAACAGTGGCTAGAATTTGGGGATCTGGCAAGAATGGCAGGACTAGCAGGCTTTCTCCAGGGAACACTTCAAGTTCTCTGACCCAGACGTCCAGAGCTCAGCTGGCCCTGCGTTTAGAAACTCCTCAGCCCAACTGCTCCTTCTTTGTGCACTTGCTTCGCATTTCGCAAACACTGAGAACTTCATGTGGGAGACGCATCCCACCTGGGGGATCCCAGGAATGTTTGCGTCTGGCTTCTTTCCTGGAGATGCTAATGGACAGTGAGGGAAGACGTGCATCCAGAACACTGTTCCACAGGCGTCGTGTGTGGAAATGCCGTGAGTGAGCAGGATAGGTAGATGTGCCCGTGGGTTTTGTAGGAGAGGAAATACATAAGCCAAGGTGTGGAGCTGGAGAAGCACAGAGAACATGGGAGGGATGGTGACTGGGTTGCTTGCACTGGGACAGAACTGAGGGGGTGGGGGATGTGGAATGAGTGGGGAGACCTCTAAGGAATTGAAACAACCTGCTGGGCCTGGGAAGCCATTCCCACTCAGGCTTTGATGAGGGCGTATCAACATTAGAGCTTCTTTGTCTAGGAGCATGGACTTGTGTCCACGCAGGATGGGCTGGAGGAACTGAGATGGATTTGCTAAGACCAGTTAGGGGTCTGTTGTGGTAACTGAGGTAGAATCAGGGCCTGAATCAGACTTGTGGCAGCGGGTTGGCCAAAAGAGTAGAGCCGGGACAAAGCAAGAAGGGCAGGTAGGAAGCTAGGATCAGCGGGACCGGAGTGATGAGCATTCCGCTGGGGTGACTGGGAGGATGGCGCTGTCTTCAGAAATAGGGAAGGCAAGAGGAGGAACTGGTCTGGCATAAGAGGAACCCCGGCCAGAGGAAAAGGCTCTGGGTTTGGAATCAGCAGGCCTGAGCTCACAGCCCCTCGGCGCTCGGCCCGCGCTGAGTCCTCTCTGGGCTGTGTTTACCTCAGAGGCTTGCAGTGAGGACTAAAGTGACTTGTTAACGGTGTTCGTTTTTGTGCTGTTGTTTAAAGGGAGGGGCTTGGGTTGTTGAGTTTAGACATCAGGCTTCTAAGAGTCATCCAGGCAACTGGGAATTCATTCTAGAGTCCGGGAAGAGGACAGTGCTAGAAACGAAAGGGGCTACTTATTTATTTATTTATTTTGTAGGTTTTTAAATGACAGGTGAAGCCGTAGTATGAGATAGTCAAGGGGAATGCTCAGAGGATAGAGAAGAGGGCCCCTGACGGGCTACTGGAAAAGCCTGGATTTAAGGACAGGAGCAGGAAGAGCCACAGCGTAGACAGAGAAAGGAGCCAGAGAGCAGGAGGGGAATCAGGAGAGTCCATGTGCTCGGCACGCAGGGTGGAGGGAGGCGAGCAGCGGCAAATACTGTTGTGGTCGAGAAAGGGGCATCGGATGAGGGTTTAGAAAGCCATTGATGACTTGACAACTAGTTTTTTCTAGCGTTAAAAGATTCAGGGTAGGATGGTGATAGTCAGCAAGTCTCAATTACTCTTCTGAGATGCTCGGTGGGAAAGGAGGAACAGAGGAGATGGTAGACAAGCAGGGGAAGTGAGGATGGGTTTCCTTTTCCTAATTGAGGAGCTTGTCCATACTGAGCTTGTCCATACGGGGAGAAGTAGGAGGAAAAGGAAGAGAGGGTGCGAGAAGGTGCTTCAGGGTGTTTGGGAGGCAGTAGAAGAGATTAGGCCCCTGCTGGCGGGTTAGCCTATGTCAGGCGCAGGGGTGCCTCAGAGACAGAGGCTGGAGGAGAAGCTGAGAGAGCTATTGTGGAAGTTATGACATCGAGTGGAAAGCACTGATGGGAATTGTCATCAGTGGACTCTCAATAAATGATTGGTTAATTGGTTCCTCCCTTCCTCATCCTGAGCTCAGACTCATTTTTCCATCTATTTGCTGGACATTTCACTGGATCTACCTCAGTCAAAATTCTATTTCCAAAATCATCCTTAACTCTGTCCCATTTCCCTTTGTCTCCCGTCCTCATTATTGCTTGCCAGGATTATGAGAACGACTTCCTAACTGGGCTCCCCATTTCTGGTCTCTCACATGTCGGTGTACACTTTTACCGCTGCCCAAGAGATCCTTCTAACCCGCAGCGATCGGGTCATGTTACTCCCTTGCCTAAACCCCCAAGGCTTCCCATTTCCTGGTGCATCATGTGTTTTGCTGCTAATGTCTGTCTGCTTAACTGCTTCCACCTCTTGTGTGGTCTCCTGCCACTGCCATCCAGCTCCCCAGCACACCGAGCTGCTCCTGGTCCCTGAATGTGCTGCGATCTGCAATGCTCCATGCTTAGCCTCTCTGCCTGGGACACCTTTCCTCCTTTCTCTGCAGCACCCTGCAAAGCTGCCCTCCGCTTCCCCAGGCAGTGCTAGTTGCTCAAACTTTACATTCTCTTTGTACAGTTCTAAAGTATGATATTCAAGCTGTATTGCCATTAATTAATTTCCTGTCTCTCCCACTGGGCTGAGAGCTCGCTAAGGGCACCTGTATTCCCCGGACTCAGCATGAGGCTTGGCATAAAACCCAGGAGAGTCTCAGTGATTACTGTTGAATGAATTAGTGAGTGTCTTGCTTAATGGGGAGGCCTGTGGCACTATTATTTATTAACTCTGCATGTGCCCACGGTTTTTAAAAGTGTCAAATAGAGAGAGCCGTGTTCTCTGGTGCCTAGGGTGGGGCCTTGGTTAGGGCTAGACTGTCCGGCTTGTGGGAACACTGATGCCTGGGCCCTTGTCTCCAGATGGGACTGAGTACGGGCTGAGCGAAGCAGACATGGAGGCCTCCTACGCCACAGTGAAAAGCATGGCCGAGCAGATAGACGCCGACGTCATCCTCCTGCGGGAGCGGCAGGAAGCGGGCGGCCGCGTGCGGGACTACCTGGTCCGGAAGCGAGTGGGAGACAATGACTTCCTGGAGGTCAGGTGAGGAGGCCTCAGGAGCCCCTGCAGCACGAGTCGTGATTGAGCCTCTGCGCCTAGTGTGGCAGCTTCACCCCTTCCCCTCTGAGTCATGGAACGAGTGTCCAGAGACCCCATAGCACCTTTCTCTCTTCCTGCACCTCCCCATCCCAAACTGTTTCCACTTGGGAAGAGTGGGAGCGAGGCCAGACATTCGTTCTGTGGGCTGCATTGTCTTTCTTATCGGCCTGTGAGTCCAGAAACCTGGGCGATGGAGGAGGCATCTGTGCCTGTCTTGGCTCTGGGGCCCCCCTCCAGCAGCCTTGGGGAAGCGAGTGGGAGTTCAGGGAGAAAGCCACAGTGGTGGGAGCCCCACTCCTCCTGCATAACCCTTCCTGCGCCCTGGAGAATACCTCCAGGCACGTTCCCACAGTACTTACCCAGGAGTAGGAGGGGCAGTGAGCTGGAGAGGCTCAGGAGCAAGCCTGTCCTTACAGACTCCGTTGGTGGGTTTCCCTTCACTCACCCACTGACTCTCACGTGGATGTGTGGCTTCATGTACTCGCAGGGTAGCGGTAGTGGGCAATGTGGATGCTGGCAAAAGCACGCTTCTGGGGGTCCTGACACACGGGGAGCTGGACAATGGCCGAGGCTTTGCCCGCCAGAAACTCTTCCGCCACAAACATGAGATCGAATCTGGTCGCACCAGCAGTGTGGGCAACGACATTCTGGGCTTTGACAGCGAAGGCAATGTGGTGAACAAGCCAGACAGCCACGGTGGCAGCCTGGAGTGGACGAAGATTTGTGAGAAATCCACTAAAGTGATCACCTTCATTGACTTGGCTGGCCACGAGAAATACCTGAAGACCACGGTCTTCGGCATGACGGGCCACCTGCCTGACTTCTGCATGCTCATGGTAAG